TTATTAAAATAAATTTTACATAATATAATAGAAATTATGAAATTGTTAGACCAATCAGGACTAGCATTTACTGTATGATGAAAATAGAAAATTATTTGACATACTTGGAATAGCTGAATGAACATGACAACTATATGAACCAAATTTATAGAATTCAATAATTGAAAATGAAGAAATATTTATTATTTGTAATGAATTCACAGGCATCATTAGAAAACATTTAATAGTATGTAATAGAGGAAATTAAATCTGCATGTTATTAAAGTCTTATACTCAACTCTTTACTTAGTATTTGATGTATGGAACAATTAACATTTGTTATAAAGCATGCATTGCCAAATAGACATATAAAAGATTTCTAGGTTTCGTATTAATTGCAAAACAAATACTGTTCATATACACCCCCATACAGGGTAGCTTTATAGGCTTGGAATAAATACAGACTTCAGACTATGAAGTCAATAGATTCAACCATTCTTAAATTTGCCACTATATAATTTTTATTTCACCTATCATCATTGTAAAAACACCACATTCCAAAAGTAATCTATTTCTTGCACTTCTCACTCTTTAAATTTAGTCCACAGCTTTGCTGCTGTAAGTGCATGCTTTCAGTATTTTATTTTTATGTAAAATTATTTTTCATCTTCAATCATTGTCAAATTTAGTATAGAATTATAAAAATATAGTGATACCAGATGATCAGCTAGATTAAATACCTTACAAGCATTAAAAAAGAATCATCACAATTACATAAAAACAAGTCTTATCTGATAGAGCTTTTATGTTTGGCTCCCCCCAAAAAAACTATAATTAGGATGTTGCATTTTGTTTAAGAAAATGACCAAATATGAAATGACACTCATAACAGCAAGTTGGGACAGTACAGAAATTGTACACAGAACAAATACCACTAAATCAGTATAATCAATTAAATGTGTCCTATTTAAAAGATGTACAATTTCATTACATCATTCTGACATGCATTTTTTAAGGTACAGAAGTAACTGCTGTAAAGCCCTTTAACATCTGATGAACAGATAAATAGAATGACCATAAAAAGAGGGGAATGCACTAAATTTGTTTTTAATTCTTTCAACACATTTACTGCTGTGCAATCTGTGCATTTACTGCTGCACATGCAATCATTACTTCACTGAACCTTTGTGTCGGTCACATGAAGACAACAAGACATTGGGTTTTAACCTCAGATATATTTATGGTGATCTTCTCATTCACTATTCCATCAAATACGAATGGCAAATAATATTATAGTAAGGTGAATATTGGCTTTTGTGAATGACATCTTTTTTTCCGTATTACTTTTATTTTTTTATAGACAAGACAGAAAACATTACAATAGCAATTTCTACATGCTGTCTATTACAACATTTTTCTTTTTTTTTTGCTTTTATAGGCTTTTGTTAGTGTGATAGTACATGGGCTAATCTTAAGTGAGACAGTATTTCAGGATTTACTTGTAGAAATGGTGAATATAAAATAATATAAAAAGTTTAAAAATATTCTTTGATTTAAAATCCTCTAACTTGGAGGGGGGACACCTGCTAGAGAAAACACCCCAGGATCTCCAAATATAAATTATTAAACCCAATTTTCAATGGATACAAAGATCTTTCTGTATATATATTAGTTTTAATGTTTTTGCTATGTGTTATTTTTGAAAAATAATATAGCAAATAAAAAAAAGGGGTCAGTGTGGCAACAATTAACTCTGTATTGGGAATTCTAAAGATATATTAATTTTAAATATTCTGTTGTTAAATTTTATACGGATTAAGTACAAAGAATGTGATATTAAATAAATAAAGCTAAAATAACAAATATAAAAATTGATCAACTTATTAAGAAAACTGAACACTGATATCATAAATTGTGAAAAGACTGAAAAAGAAGTGTATGGCAACACTTAACATTTTATTGGGAATATTAAAGTTATGCTACTTTTAAAAATTTTGTGATTCTTAAGTAACTGATTTGTGAATGCAAAGCACTGTATGGCCAGAGGATATACTATGATCAATGTCATAGAGATGTGTACATGAGTATTTACAGTAATCATTGTCCATTATATGGGAGAATAGAATGATAAAAAGTGATACTCATTGTTATTTAACACATGAAACTGGCTGCAAGTCGTGCTGGTCACATTAGATATTTTTTTACTAGCATTGTAGGTGTATAAATACTTTTTTAGGGGTCCCCAGCTACTTATGTTCACATTAAATATTCAATCTGGTACTCTTTTGTTATTAAACCACTTGAAGAAAAGTGATCATACATGAAATTTTATGACCTGATTTATATCTTCATGCATTGTAATTCCACCAAATTAGCTCATTTTGAAGGTAGAAGGGAAGAACCTCCCCTTGCCACAACCACAATGAAGCAATTTAAATTAGAACTCTGCACTTAAAATATTCCCAGTTGTCACTTGGGTTCTACATAGTGACCATAAGCTGCTTAAAAAAATATAGTAGTAAGTATGTATAGCACTTAAAAAAAAAAAAAAAAAAAAAAAAAAAAAAAAGATGCGTTATTTAAAAAAAATTTTAATCTTAAGGTTTCTAAAATCTAAGGAACAAGTTTTTCATCAGAAATGAAGTGTTTGGCTCTGGCACCTCATTTGATATTAAGCACAATAGGACCCCAGATATCCGACTGCTTATTCCTCTTTATATTCAAAGTAAAATTAATACTGCTGTTAATTTATTTGCATATTTTCAATTTGTTGTTTTTATTGATTTTAACGATACAGAGAAGTACAGTCAAAAGTCGTTAATTCGGACACCCATAATCCGGACCTCAAAGTTACAAACTTTCTGCGCATGCGTCGCATGCGAGTAAGACCTTTACCGCTGCTAATTTGCGTGTGCGCGTGCGCAAAATATGTTTACGAATGCGCGTTTAATGTATAACGGACAGGATAAGCTAAGCTAAAATTATCTAATTATCTATTTCAGTTAATGTTGCAGATCGCGTTGTTCCTTAATCTTCGAATTGGATCCGGATTATTATTTTTTGCAGACTGTTAGAGCAATTTTATAAAAGTAAGCTTGAACTTTTGATTATGTCAAATAGAATTTCCGATATATATTTACTAATATGTAAAAGATATACAAAGCGAAAGTATCTTTCGGAGTCCATTAAACAAAAAGTGGAATTGCTGCAAAAAATGGATAAAGTTTATCTAAACTTTAACGTGTGTTTATCTAAACTTTGTTTATCTTTAACTCTGCGGCGGCGAGCATTGAATTGGAAGTTGATCTGTCAACACTATCCTTATCTTAAGGGCAGATGTTTTTATTTTATTTGGCTTATAATTGCTTACTCAATGTAGTATTTCATCTCGTCTTTGATATGATTTAAATCAAATGCCTCGTCATTATAATTCGCTTCCGATAGCGAAGAAAGTGACAGAGGTTATTGAAAACGAAAACATTTCGATTGAAAAATTAGTCGGTATTCTCGACACAGCAATTATATCACTTGAACAGCGGAACTTTGTAACTAAACAAGAAATTATGTCTGTTTAATAGAATTAAAGAGAAAGTATTATCACATGAAACGAAGCAACTTACATTGAAGGAAATGTTTAATAAAGTAAACAAATAAATATTAAGCTTTTTTTTTTTTTTTTTGTAAATTTTGATACCCTTTAGATCATAATTGTTCTTTATTTCATAAATTACGGTTTCATATTTTTAATTTTGTAATTTCTGCATGCCATTTTACCAGATTTAAACTGATGATCTATAATCTGGAAAAATCGATAATCCGGAATCGCCGAAGTCCCGACGAGTCCGGATTAACGACTTTTGACTGTACACACTTTTTAACAGTATGTCCTTCTCTGTATCAATTAATTTAAATTAATGTGAATGATATGTACATAGAAATGTCAGTAAATATGTCAAAGTAGGTTGTATGCTTTGCTTTATGAAAACAGAAAATTTCTTTGCCTAATTTGAGTATGGCAGAGTTAAAAACAAAATTATATATTGAAACAGAGGGGGAAAAAGGCTAAGCTACATAGACATGGTTTGATGAAATCAATTTCAATGCAATTCAAAATAAGCAAACTTATCAAATGAAACAGTGTATTCCCCCCTGTAAAATCTTTGTTGAAATAAATATATGTTGAAATGAATAGCATGTTGAAATAAATAATATTCTACAATTTTATCTCAATAAACACATACCTGACATAGAGGGAGAAAAGATAGAGAAATCAAATATCTAGATGGGCTATCTTTCTAATTAAAAGATATGACAACTGAATTCGGGCTGATTTTAACTTGTATTTCCAGCTTACTTTCACTTTCTCTGATAAATATTAAATGGTTGCTACACATGTTGATAACCAGTTGTGCTAAGAATCATGGTTATTAAAATCTTTGCTATGAGCATTTTGCCAGCTGAAACTGTCATATTTTTCATTATTCAAAATTTGTTCTTAACTAGGTGGCTTAGAAGTTTCCAGTTTCTATGTAATCCAAGGAAGGTTCCTATGATCCAGTAAGGAAGATAAATTCATGGAAAGGAATCTCAAAATTCTCCCACCCCAGGCACTGAAAGAGGGCCAGAATTTTAAATTCAAACGACTTTAAGATATCACTCAAAAGATTAACTTGGATTCTGGGTGCAAGCAATACCATCATGCAAAGAATTGCTTAAGATGACCTCAGATACACTTTGCATAGTAAGGCGAGATGAATGCTCTCTGAAGACAATCTGGGACATATGTGTTTGCTCAAGAATAAAGCATCTGGCCACCTAAGGTTCTTTTCAGATGGGCAAATCCAAGACCTCGAGAATGTATACATTGTAGTCAGGATAAAGCTTCCATATGCTGAGTGGTGCTTCAAGTGATGATGGTGATGTCAAATCTGGATATTTGAAGTTTTTCAGCACAAATTTATGTGGGGAGAACCCCCTGAAATGAGGAAATTATTAAGGCAGAAACAAGTTAAAAAACAAAAATGAAGGACTAAAATGAGTATTTTATTTACACATGTTACAGTTCTTGAAGGGATGAACTTTGCACAGCTGTGATTTGTGAATGCTAATTTATGCAGATCATTTAAAATGTCCAGCATTTTCTGCCCAGAAAAGCTTAGCAATAACACATCTAAATGTTAGTGATTGCTAAATCTCCAAAGTGACATGCACACACACACATAAAAAAAAAATCAGCATGATAAATATACATAGATATAGAATAACTTACAGCAAAAATAAAGAAAAATAGAGTATATAAAATTAAATAAATATACAACTCTGATTTTTAGCAATAACACACATTATACACAAGAGATAAATACACCATAAAATTTGCTGTGTTCTATTGCCGGTACATATATGATGCTCACGTGTTAATAGAAGCAGTAAAAAGTTTCTCTCAGAAAGTAGAAAAATTTTCTAATGTTATATCCCCTGCTAAGAAACATGGTCATTTCTTCTTGATACATTATTAATCAGGTTGAGATGAGATTCTTCTGAGGAATTTAATTCTTCAATGACTGCAAGGGGTGCTTTTCTTACCTGTAAGAAAAATATAATTACTATTAAATAAATTTCAAAATTATTTTCAGATTAAAAAATGATTTTTTTGGGGAAGGCATGAAAAGAAGTTTTACCAGTTTTCCTTCATTCCTGAGTTAAAGCTTGCAAAAAAGAATAATAAATATATATAGAGAGAGACTTAAAGCATCTAAATGAATTAGTAAATTGGAATAAAAGCAAGACAATTCCTCTATAATATAATAATTGTATGCTTCACACAATATCAAAACTAATCCAAGTAAAGAGAGAATACATAGTAGGAACAATCTCGAAAACTAAAAATGCGAAAGGGAAAATACACAAAATTATACAAATAAAAATTAATCTTCTTTTATTGAAACTTCAATTCAGAACTCATCAGAGGAAAATAAAATAAAGCTTCAATAAAAGTCGATAATATTTTTATTTTTAATTCGAATTTTTCGCCTATTTATATATAGGTATATATATATAAATAGGCGAAATATATCTATGTATGTATATGTTACTGTGAAAGACCGAAATTGGAGAATGTTGACATTCACGGTGAATCTCAACACATACCAAATACGTCGGTGAAAGACTGAATATTTGGTTATATTCTTGTACATTCAGACCATCACCAGTGTATGTTGACAATCATGGATATGCTATGGTGGAGGTCGAAAAGAGAAGTCAAGTTCAATAGAGGGGCAACTGTCTCTCGCCAATCCTTTGCTCTGCTGCGATTGAAGTTATGTAGCATGTATTTGTTATAATCTGGAACACTGTTTGTCAGTCTTATGCTAGGTTTGATGGTATGTGCAACGTTTTCTTAAATTTTTTTTTTTTTTTTTAAATCTGATACCCTAATTTATGTTGAATGGATACTGCAGTGAATCGTGAACTTTTCCTTGCAAAGTTAAATGCATTAATTGCGAGTAAACGAGAAGAAAATTGTTTTTATTTTTCAAACACATCTCTCCTCACCGGGATTGATTACTCCTTATGAAGTTATGTTTGACATTAAATGAAGAAAAGGCATAGCATTGTCTTACTTGCTTGGCGAACAAATTGCTAATATTGAAACCGAAGAACAACTCTTAAGAAATTGCTAATACTTTTCAAACCAAAGAACAGCTTGAAAAAATTGTTAATACTTTTGAAGAAAATTTGAGCAGTGGCCATACCAAAAACCATATTCCAAAGTAAAATATTGAGGAGGACCTGTAACCTATCACGTCTTCGTATCAAGCCCGGACTGAACAACATGAGTTAATTTCTATAAAAAGATCGGCCATGAAAGAGAATCTTCTACTGCAAGCAACGTAGATTTTACAAACAAATAAAAAAAAAAAAAAAAAAAAAAAAAAAAAAGCAGCCTCTTGCTCAAATTGTCAATATTGTACGAATACAGTCAAAAGTCGTTAATTCGGACACCCATAATCCGCACCTCAAAGTTACAAACTTTCTGCGCATGCGTCGCGTTGACGCATGCGCGTAAGACTTTTACCGCTGCGAATTTGCGTGTGCGCGTGCGCAAAATACGTTTACGAATGCGCGTTTAATGTATAACGGACGGGATAAGCTAAGCTAAAATTATCTAATTATCTATTTCAGTTAATGTTGCAGATTGCGTTGTTCCTTAATCTTCGAATTGGATCCGGACTTATTATTTTTTTGCAGACTGTTTAGAGCAATTTTATAAAAGTAAGCTTGAACTTTCGATTATGTCAAATAGAATTTCCGATATATATTTACTAATATGTAAAGGATCTACAAAGCGAAAGTATGTTTCGAAGTCCATTAAAACAAAAAGTGGAATTGATGCAAAAAATGGATAAAGGCATATACTTTGTTTATCTAAACTTTAACGTTTCTTTATCTAAACTTTGTTTATCTTTAACGCCGCGGCGGCGTGCAATGAACTGGAAGTTGATTTGTCAGCACTATCCTTATCTTCAGGGCAGATGTTTTTATTTTATTTGGCTTATATTTCCTTACTAAATGTAGTATTTCATCTCGATGTACTCCATCTTTGATATGATTTAAATCAAATTCCTCGTCATTATAATTCGCTTCCGATAGCGAAGAAAGTGACAGAGGTTTATTGAAAACGAAAAATTTCGATTGACAAATTAGTCGGTATTCTCGACACAGCAATTATAGGACTTGAACAGCGAACTTTGTAACTGAACAAGAAATTATGTCTGTTTATAGAATTAAAGAGAATGTATTATCACATAAAAAACGAAGCAACTTGAAACAACTTACATTGAAAGAAATGTTTAATAAAGTAAACAAATAAATATTAAGCTTTTTCTTTTTGTCAATTTTGATACCCTTTAGATCATAATTGTTCTTTATTTCGTAAATTACGGTTTCATATTTTTACTTTTATAATTTCTGCATGCCATTTTACCAGATTTAAACTGATGATCTATAATCCGGAAAAATCGATAATCCGGAATCGCCGAAGTCCCGACGAGTCCGGATTAACGACTTTTGACTGTATAAGTCCCTGATGTCGACTGTGGTCGTACAGATGGCCGAAATGTGTTGGCAGTTGTTGGAATAGAAGGCTCCGACTTTTATAAACTAGCAAATAAAAATGGCAGTTTCAAGTAGCTTTATACTCATAATCAATTCGTAATTTGTAAAGAAAAGTTACTTTCCATAGATAAAATTTCTTCTTAAGTAACGTCGCTGAGAGAAGCAGCTGCAGCTAATTCGAGATGTAGAGGGCAAGGCTATACATGCTGTCACTACAAAAGGAAGTGTTCCACAACTAAATGCAGTTGTAAAAGCAAGGGACTCTTGTGCAATTCAAAATGTCATAAAAGTTTATGTTGTTGTAATAAATAAGATTTCAATCACATACTTCAGTTTTTTTTTTTTTTTTGTATTATTTTCTTTTCTCATTTAGAATGTTATTGTTTACATTCAAAAGTTTATTTACATGTGCTGTTACTTGTGTGTTAAGCTTTTTCATATTTTCACATATATGGTATAAATGCAAAAAAAAAAAAAAAAAAAAAAAAAAAAAAAAAAAAAAAAGAGCTCTTTATTGACTAAATTTAAAACTAAATGCTTAACATTTATCCAAGGACGACTGCTGTCATTATTAAGAAGCCAAGTAATATCGAGTAGCCCTTCTTGCATTAGAATCAAAAGCTACATGTCATGCAGTGAAAATGCCTCTATAGAGTTACAAATAACTCCTCTCAACAGGGATTGGTTACTCCTCTCAGCAAGACAGGTGAAAACATTACGTCACCTTTGAAGTTTTATGGCGCCTGAAATACGGAGAACAAAATACAAATCTCCGATGTATTCAATATTCACCATTAGTGCATGGTGAATGTCGACATTTGATGGTGTAAGTCAGAAATAAGGATATTTGGCAAATATTTTGGACATGCACCAAGCGACTATGCGAATGTTGACATTCAGCAGTGAATGTCGACATTCTCCAAATCTCTTTCACAGTAACATATATAAAAATTAGATTGAAAACTTTCTGATACAATAAAAGAAAAATGAAATTATGAATACAGCTAATCTAACTGCCATGGTAACTTAAATTGTGAACAATTTCAAAATGATATTTAACTAAATGTAAATGTTTACACAGGATGATTTAAAAAAAAAAAAAAAAAAAACTCTGAGTAGCATGAATGTCTTTATCAGGTCACTAGATTTATTGTCACTTGGCATATTTTCCTTTACTTCAAATATTTTGTTTTCTTATTTCCTTAAGCAATCATGTTATCATCTTAATGAATGAAAGATCATGAAAACAAAGCATTAAATAAGTACTTTTGAATTTACTGCACTAATGATTGTAGTTACCTTCTTTAAAAAAACCTACAAAATAAATGCTGTTAATTCTTTAAAAACCAAAGCCTTCACTCACCTGTATCTTAAAATACCAAACCGCCTAAAATGCTTTTCAAGAGTCACAGCTATTTCCTCCCCTGCCCATCCATTTGCCCACAAAGAAGAGTGAAGATTTTAAATGACATCCCTTATACTTTTAATAAATAAAGATCAACAACCACAAATAAATCTTTTTAGGCCAAGCTGTCTGCAATAGCCTGAAACAATGCATTTGGAGAAACTACAACTGCTACTGCATACCTTAGAGGAGGGAAGAAAACAACATCAGCATTTCAGACGCTTGGGGTGGTTGTGGTCAATTGAATGAAAGGCCATCTGGTCTTCAAAGAGTTAAATATAACTCTTCATTTCAAAATTCAGCAGATTCAAAATGCTGAACTGCTCAGAGGATTGATCATTCATCTAGGACATGCACTTCTAATACCAAAGCTTTTTTAAATGATTCCGTTTTTATAACAGTCTCTATTCCATGGTTGGAAAAAATATATAAATGTATAAAACCTAACTTTTATATGGCTTGCATAAAGCACAATGTCCAGTTAATAAAATGTTCATTATGCTTTAGTAAGTTAAGCAGAATATCTTCTGTATATTTATATGCAATATTTAATGAGATATTCACAATTAATTGTATCATAGCATCATTCACTTGCTCAGTGAAAAGTGGATCCAAGTGAAAAGTGATTGCTTTGAAAAGTGGATCCAGAGTCATTTAATTTGTCCCTTTATGTGAATTTTGCATATAAAGGTATGGACTTTCGTGTATTTCACTTGTGAAAGCTTAGTGAACAATTTACTTACCGGGATTTTGCTTTATACAACAGAATATAAACAGATAAATTTTGTACTTATAGAATCTTTCTTTGTTAACCTCAATGATGAAATTACCTTCACATGATTCTCTGCCTTATTTTGAGAAATACTGTAACTGCCAGGACATCAAATTAATGTTAAAAGAAAATGATTATAGCTATCTTTTCAAAAATCTTTTCTATAATAACTATATTTATCAAATTAAACAGAAATGGAATTATTTCTTTATACAAGTAAAAATTTCAACAACTGTTAAACAGCATGCAGCTTTTATTAATCTAACTTTGGCTTACTTTATTATATTCTAAATGCTAATTTATAATACTAAACTAGTCCAATTATAATACAGCCATATATATATGAACTTGTTTTTTTGAAAAGAACTAGAACATAAGATGGCCTTACGAGTTTAATGTATAAATGAATGCAACAAGACAGATAACAGATACAACCTTATTTTTTCAGTTAGAAAGAGCATAAATGCCCTTCTTTGAATGCAATAATTAACAGATAAGTGATAAAATATTTTTTGATCAGCTTTTAAAAAGGCATTTTAAGGATAAAAAACAATGTCTTATATTCAAGCTTTTTTTTTTTTTTTGGTAAACTTATGACAAATACATAGTTTTTTAATACCTGTTGCTGCTGAACATCACCATTTAAGCTAACAGCATTATCTTGCACTTCTGCAGCAATATTTTCATGAACTTCTGAAATTATATTTAAAAAATGTAATCCTAATAAGGATAAATCAGTTATTTGATAGAAATAGTTTAAAATACACACCAGCTTCTATTTCCACCAACTGGAAAGAGGCTCGATCTCTTGACACCATTGGAGAGAATCTAAATAGTTAAGCATAGAAAGAAATATAAATAAAACTGAGGTATAATTAAATAGACACCCACCGATTTTCTTATATTCATAAATAATCTCCAAGATATACTAGATTTAAACACAAGAATTTAGAACCTGAAATGCAAACTTGCATTTTTTCCACTTTTATGAAAACTGCACACTATGTATTTCTAAAGTCACTGCAATTTTAATTATTACTATGGAGGTCATTCTAAAATGTTTGAGATACGTGCAAATGATAAGTGGCAGTAAAAAAATTAATGGTTAGATTTGAAAACAATAACTGTTAGCCTAGCAGACGATTTTTTATTGGCCAATTGCATGTAGTTTAGCATAGAATAAATTTTAGGCAGAAGAAAAAATGGAGTTGATGCGAGAGCATTATCATAACATGATTTTAAAGTGGGAATAAATCAAGAAGAATGCATTCAACATCTATGATTAACATTTAGAAATGCAGGTCCATCTCATGCTACTGTATTCAAATGGTTTACAGAATTACAAAGACGTCGCAACTCTCCTCAGGATAAAGAACACACAGGAAGGTGGTTGTCAGCAGTAATACCGATAATATATCTGCTGTAAAGAAAAAGTTAATTGTTGATAATTGCTGTACCTACCAAATGATACAGGTGACAGGGGATGGGGACACCTGGTGTCTAACATAGGTCAGCAGGCATGCGTCCTGCGTGCCTGCTTACAAATTAACAATTAATTTACAAATTAAACTGCTTTGATTAACAAACTCATCAAATTAAAATTTCTCCAGTTTTCTACATTAAAAACATAAAAATCAGCTATTTTTTATTAAACAATATCCAGTAGCTATGTCACTTTTTTAAAATATTTTTTCCTTAATTTGCTTTACAATAAAAAATTCATGGTTTTCTCTAAATTAAGATGTCAGTTTATAATACTTTAATATCAAGAGTTTTTATACCATTTTGCGCACTACATATTTTAAATACATACCTTATTATATGACTATTTGATCCAGCTTTGAAACTAACAAACAGACTGACTGCAAGACAATTCAAAAGTTTTCCCAATAAAATCACATAAAAATAGTTTAAAAAGTCCTCCATGAACATATCCCTTCCCTTAAGAAAACAGCCTTCATATGCTTTAAAAAACAGCCTTCATATGCCATAAATGGTTAAACAAAAAACAACTTCATAAGCATTAAAGTTTTGCCTTGAAATGTATTATAAAAAAGTGCTTTATCTGCATCATTTCCCTTAAATATTACAAGCTTTGACAAGCCACAGCTCTTTCTATGCTGCAAACTGCAATTTTTAAATCCATCACAAACAAAAAAAGGAAAAAGAGTAAATATGATGAATACTAAATGATACTTTCATGTCAAAATAGAAATAATTTTAAGATTGAAGATAAATCTGTTTTAATATTGAATCAATTTAAACTTTTTGATTTCAACTCTATACAACACAAATACAGGGTAGTCTAACATTTAAGACAAACTAATATTGTTAAAAGCATTTTATGAATAAGAAAAACTTGTTTATAAGGCGACCTCATATACACAAGCTTGATATTTTGAAGAGGTTTTGCATGTGAAATAAACAAACAAGAAATTTGCTTTAAGGTAAACTAGCACAGATATTAATTTAGCATAAACCTAAACTGGTATGTTTGCCTTAAGTGTAAAGGTTAAGGGATAAGTGATGAATCTTTAAGAGAAGTATGGTCTACTAAAATCCATTTTAAGGGGAAAATGTTGCCTTATAAAAGTGCCCAGTATGAAAATTTAGTTTTTTTTTTTGGACATAAATATGTAGAAATATTTTCTTACTCTTATGAAAAAAGGATAAGTATACCTTGCTTGTTCCGCAAGGTCTTCAATGTATTTCTGTAAGGTCTTCAATATATATATTTTTTTTGATAATTGATTTTTCATTAAGAGAAATATGGGATCCATTTTAAGAGGAAATATTGCCTTATAAAAGTGCCAATATGGAAATTTAGTTTTTTTTTTTGGGGGGGGGGTCATAAATATGCAGAAATATTTTCTTACTCTCATAAAGAAAGGACAAGTATACCTTGCTTGTTCCGTAAGGTCTTCAATATCATTTAATTCATTCTGCATCTGAGGATCTATGCTTTCTGCTAGACTTGAATCATCAACCAAGTCAAGTTTTGAACTGATAATAATTTAATGAAAAGAAAATAAATAATTTTACATTTCATGTAAATAGCTTTAAACTGAAAATCATAACGTGCTTTAAGACTTACTTTTTAAGGCAAATATTCGGCATCAAAACTATTTTATCCAAAGAACTGATGGCATCCATGGCATTTACAGGAATTTCAATCTGACAGACTGGTTTTCCTGTTGTTGAAGTTGATAAAGAGATAATTTCAAATTCTGATGGAAAAATCAAGCAGACCATCAGTCCATTCTGAGCAAAAACTGTTTTAGAAAATATGCTGGAAAGAAAAGATTAGTTTGAGTAAAGAATAATGTAGAACGCCTTTAGCTCATAGGAAACCCTGAGTTGTCGTTAACTATTGTCATGTTATATAAATACAATTATGGCAGTAAACAATAAAGTAGTGCGCGTTTCATCTATCATCTATCTATCATTTGCTATGGTCATGAATCAATCTATCATTTGCTATGGTCATGAAATATATACATTGGGTGGCCCTAGATAAACTGACCCAAACATGGAAGACTGCACTTGTTTTGGGTTCAGTATCTTGGGCCCAATATAATTGTGGCAATAGATACTTTGCTAGATAGCTAATGTATCATATAGCTACAAATGCCAGATATAGTTGCCTCCTTCTTCTAAGTGCCTAGTAATGATCTTCCAATAGTTGCGATAAATTGATTGCCTGATGTCACAAATTTCAGTAAAAATGTTCTCTTTCGGTTACTAGATTGTGTATATGCCTGTAACTATCTCCTTCCCATAGGTACCTGGCAATGATACTCCATACCTGTGAATGATGTGATAAGCTGGGTGTGGCTGACATAATCACCTGCAATGATTGCGTTCTTTTTCAGTAGCTGAATTACATAAATTACATCTTAACATACTTTTCCTTTCAAGATACCTCATAAGGGGGGTGGAAACCACTTGAATGCTTTCAGATTTTACATTACGCCCAAAGGGGTGTTTTTTTTAACATTTTGTGAGTTACCCTTATTTATTAAATATCATGTTCTTCACACTTAAACAATAAAATTCAGTTCAACAGCAATATCACAAAATAAATTTTAAAATAAGCATATCTTTAGAATTTCCGATACACAGTCTTGCCTGCTGGAGATAATTTTTTTTTTTTTTTTTTTTTTTTTTTTTTTTTTTAACATACAGTGTTGCCATTGCTCGCTTTGAAATCACTGAGTTTGTTAATCCAATATTCGTTAAAGTTTTACAAATTATGAAATAGATAATAAAATAAATTCCAAATTTGGGTTTCTAGATGCCCATATTTGGGTGGAATTTAACGGCTCTAGATACCAATGTTTTATCACAATGTGAGAAATATTCAAACATTTATGCAGATTCTTCATTATTTAATTTTATTTAAATATAATACAGGGTTCTAATATTTGGTGGCAACAATTTGAAAAGTGAATCAATGCAAACTGCCAAAACAAATTTAATAGTTCTTCTGGGCCAATTTACTTTGGGCTAAAAAAAAAGAGAAAGAAAGATTACAATATAAAGAACTCAAATAACACAATTCTTTGGAGTTATGCAATTTTCAAAGAGGTACAGCTATAGTTGCTACAGATTGTTTGAAAGTGTAATAAAAACTATCCTCCTTAAAACAATGATGAATGCAAATTGGTACAGAAACAATAATATAGTTTTTATCAATTGATTGAGAGAGCATGATTATTTCTTCACAATGTGACAACTTGCCCGTGGCTTAAATTTTGTCAAGATTAAATAAATTTCAGTTTTTTTTTTTAAAATCAGAATTCCAGTAGAAGGCTTTTATGAAATGGGATTTGACGTTTCTTTGCTATAAAAACTGAACTGTAGTAGTAAAAGTAGTATAAGTAGAAAATTCTATCTTGGGCATCTTTTTAACAGTTAACAAGGTATATACATCAAGATCTATACAAAAAGATCATATGACAGAAAACATACCTAATTTTCCAGAAGTGTTATAAATTGTACAGCCTTGGAATGAAAATCAGAATGCCCTTTCTTCAGAAAACATATTTACTAAATTAATATCATATAAACACTTCACTATTACACAAAAATGTATGTGAATTCCTACTTTAATAGTCCTCATTTGTTTTAAGCTGAGCTATAAGATTTAGTTTCAGTTATGAAAAATTCTTTTGTTGTGTTGTGACTATCTAACTTGTCTCAGAGTAACATCAGATTAAGTCCAAGAATTTCATTGTAGCCAAGAGTGCAAGGTTGCACTTGTCACTAGCTTAGATGTCTGGTACCTTATAAGTGACTGTATGAATATGCCTAATCCCATTATAGTTTTGAAAGACAATCCTCCGACGGTTGATCTCAGGGTTTTTCACCCGTCTTACCCTACTACCAATCTTTTGTGAGAACTTTTGTCTCAACATTATTTTAACTGCTTGCCTACTTATCTTGTTATCTCGGATTGGTATATATTGCAGTTAATTATTATCCTGAGAAAACTCGGGCGCAGCAGAATTTGTCAGTACAATTTGTTTTATCACGATTTTATTCAGTCTGGAGGAAATGAAAGGAAATATTTAGCTTTGATTGACAGTTTGCCAAGTTTTGTTGGTTTCACAGTTCTTTTGGCGGGACTGGTCACGTGTTTCCCTATTGTATAGTATACGTCAGCTTGTGGATTAGTAATGTATAAAGAAGGATAGTTGTGTTGAAAAAAGTAAAATTATGGGGATAATGCAAGATAGCAAAAGAAATGATTTTTCAGATATTGATTAAGAAGAGGAAGACATTTTCCTGCTACTGGAAAAAAAAAAAAAAAATCAAATCCAACGAGACAGTGTACTTTGTCCTCCCGTAAAAGAGATTCCAGAGGTGAGCCACAAAGAAAAAGACCAGATATCAGTGTACATAACATCAGGTATCACTTTGTGTTGTCCCTTGTTTCAAAAACTGTCATACAAGGACTAGTATTTAACTTTTTTTCATTTGCCCAAGATAACTAGGGATAGTGAACTAATATTAAAGTAAATGCTTTTACACCTGTAAAAAATTAAAAATTCAACTTTAAAACTACATATTTTGTTTTGTTTCATTGTATTTAATAAAAAAATAAAAAAATGTGATGATTTTTTGCAATTTTTTTCAATATGCTGTAAAGAAAATATTCACAAACATTAGTGCCTCTGAAATTTGAACCCAAACTTAAGGCTATGGCAGCCAGCTTTTTTCTTTATTATTTAAGATTTTATTTATTTATCATATATTATTTATTTATTTTTATATTTTTACTGCCTTTGTAAGAGCTCTGGGATGCTTAGTTTTAGAAACTAAACACCATTCCAAAAAACACACGGCAGCTGCAACCAGTTTCTACAAAGATCACATTCTTACAGGAATATGACTAGCAAGGTCTCTAAACCTTGTAATTAAGACTCAATCCAACCAATGAAAAAAAATCAACATCACCACAATTAACATCAACCATATTTTACATATTTAGATGATTACAAACACAGAGTGATGAGTTGCCAGATATTTGAAGCAAGAAAGCAACCATTTCTAGCATAGCATATGCAAGGATATCACACACTGAATATCTTTTGATACTACAAGTATATTTTGCCTGCTTTACATTACATATCAACAATACATGATAATTCAGTGTGCCCCATGAGCAAAACACTCGTTACAATTTACTTAAACGGTAAAATACAGTACAATATATTATCTTATTGACGAAAACAATAATATCAAATAATAATAATAATAAAAAGCACTTTTCAATACTTTAAATTAGGATATATTTTAATTAACATATTATAAACAGAAACATATAAAATACAGCATCCTAACTGATATAAATATACTGTAAGTGTAAGATAGATTCATTTCTATTAAGAGACAGCACAGAACAATTAAATTTTAAGTACAGTTTAAGAAACTATAAAATAAATCAATGCATTTACAAGAATACAAAAGTATATTTTTAACTGATATTATTGCAGATAGTACCCAAAATATATTAAAATTTAATAAACTAGTAGACACATTTTAAAGCCTACATTTGTAATACTTCTGTCACATGCTATCATCCGTTAAAAAACTGATTTTAAAAAAGTTTCGATATTTATCATATTTAAGTAACATTACTTAGTAATCAATTATATTTTCATAATGAAATGTGATAACATGACACTTTTTAATAACAAATCACAAAACCACTAATATAATGTACATATATCATGCATCTTTTAGAATTAAACATAAATGTAGCATACACACTTGTGTGCAAAATTAAGAGAATTTGCAAATTATGTCTATTTTTACGACAAGTATTGAACCATTCCATAGGTACTAATTATGCTGCTGTAGAGTAACGCACATATTCAGTCTCAAATATGTAAGCATACATGTGTGTATCTGTGGAGCTGTGATTGTAGAGGGAATATAAGCATATAAGGGGTTTTGGTAATTTGTGTGCTCGTATTCCATCATGACCTTCATTGCGTTTCTCACAAGTGTTGGCTACATTTTATAAGTTACCAGGTAAAATGAGTGGCCATGAACTTATGGGTGATAGAATGAGATGGAGAATTGTTGGTAGATTTGTCAGTTTGCCTGCTTAAACAATAATTGCTAAGCTCATGAAGGCTATATGATTTAGGGAGATGCTTCCATGAAGTACTTTTGAAGAAAAACAAGATTTATTCTTATTACACAAGGTAAAAACCACAAAAACTTCGTATAGCTAAGCCATTTGCAAGAACACCGCAAAAAGCACTGTGCACTGCACTGAGCAATTTTATTTACTCAGGTATTTAAATGAAAGAATGACCAAGTAGTCATTATTTTCAACCCTGATTGGCTACTTCATTCCTCTGACACTATTCCATAAGGCTTTCACTTGTGAGGATTCTTGAATGTCATCAAATGCACTGTTTCTAAAAGGCCAATAGGCAGACTAACTGAATATGTGAGGAATATTTCATAAGATGTATTGAATTCTGACGAAAATAATTATTATTTTAGAAAGAAAATTTTTGATCCCCAAACTGTCTTTCTAATTTTTCAAATTACATTAAGTTGATATACAAATTACATTATATTATGTTTCCAAAGAATTTATTATGCACATGGCCTGGCAAATTGATAATTCTCAGAGATGGTACCTTTTTTTGTGACACGTAATCTTTAATTTATTTTTCAATTTAAAACTATGCATTGCTGAATTCAGTAAACAATTTAAGAGCAATATACTACACAAAATGATTCTGAAATACTTGACAAAAAGGCAAA